TAGATTTCAAATATTGATATTTTAAATGGGATCCTAATAGGTATATTTTATGTGACTATGTTGTTCATTGATTTTTATTTAAGTAACTTATTTAGTTCTTAAATTATAATGGAAGGTTTCTTTCTTATATTTAAATATTTTCTACCATGATATACTTTATAATCATGATTTCAATTCTTAGTGACTAGGTTAATTCTTTTTACCACAATAGCAATTTTTAATTGGATGATTTAATCCTTATTATTATGGTAGATACTTGTCATTAGAACAAAAATGTATCTAATGAACTTAGGTAATCCTCATGGGTTAGGATCTCTAATGCAATTAATTAATTAAGATAATAATTTGCTTTAATTAAATTAATTAGGATCCTTAGTGATCAAAAGATACTTTAGATTAATTTAAATTCTTGAATTATCAAAACTAAATTTCAAGACAATTAATGTAGTTATGAAAGGGTTAAGAAGCAAATAAGGGATTAGGACTCTATAACACTTTTCTCTTAGTTGACTTTAGTTGTTTATGAATTAAAAATTATTTTAATTGATTACTTTTAATATTTTTATTTTAATTGTTCTAAAATCAATCTCTAGTTTTATTAGCTTAATGTAAATGAATTTGAAAAATTTAATGCCTAATCGCTATTTTAATTAATTTCCTAAGGGATCAACCTTGATTTATCACTAGCTTAATTTGTGACCCATACACTTGTGGTATCTCTTAATTTTTGTGAGCATTAAGTTTTTGATACTGTTGCTGAGGACTTAACATAATTGATAATTAGCATTAAAGGACCTTTAGTAGTTTTCGATTAAACATTTTATTTTATTTTATTTGTAAGTTGCATAGTTAGATTCTTGATCTTTCTCTTTTGAGCTTGCAGGATTATACTTTATGCCACGTAGAGCTAAGGGTAAAAAGACACCTGTAGGAATGAAGAGTATCTAAGAACTCTTAAAAGTAACATTACCTTTGAAATCATCTCACAAGAATAAAGAAACTATAATTACAAAGCTTGCTGATAAAAATCATAACTGATCAATTCATAATTTTATTGAGTAAACCATAAAGAGTACTCAACCTAACATTATAGTGCCAAAATTTTAAAATAATAATTTTGAGATCAAGTCAGTGATGATTATTATGATTCAAATTACCAGTATCAATATATGAAAATTATTTTTAAGATATTTTCTTGATTAATGATAGGATTATATAAAATTATAAATAGATATTTTTACTATAGTTATAAAAAAATAAACTCTGATACCACAAAAAAGTTAATATCAAATATTAGTTTTGTTTGTATTTTATTTACTTATGTTATATAAAATTACAAAAAGATTTTTTTCATAATAATCCTTAAAAAGTAACTCTAATATCACTAAACCCTAAATTCTGATACCACTAAAAAGATAACATTAAATATTGATCTTATTTTCATTCTATTTATTTCAATTATTATTTTTATTTTCTTTTTTTATGTCATAATTATTTTCTCAACAAGCTCATGAAGGGTTTTAAAAAATAATACATACAACATATCTAAGAAAAAAAAAGGTGGAGATAGTACAAAGTTAAAAATGTTAGATTTATGTCAAGATATTGTAAAAAAAATATATTTGGAGTTTGGTTATGATAAAAGAACTATTTAATCAAAAAGAAAATAAGTTCATAAATTATATGAAGCCTTATAGCCCAATCTAAAGTTGGCATCTTATACCTTAGATGGCAGGAAGTACTATAAGTTATGAAAAATATAATTTAAAATGATATTCTAGTATACAAATTTTTATATTTTATATTAGATGCTATTAACCTACTTCACAAATATTATATCTTGTAACTCATTTATGATATCCCTTTCACCCTTGAGATGAAGAAGCATTGGCTTCAACTCACTTATTATGGAATAATTTTGAGGAAAAAAGAAGAATGAGGATCCATATTTGGAATATAATTATATTGATTTAATCATAAAAATTAAGTGTAATAAATAAAGAAAGACAGTATAAAAATAAATATCAACATTACTTATTCTAAATAATATAGGAAGTTGAATTAAAATCTTATAGAAGATGATTTAAAGAAACTAAAAGAAGCTACAAGCTTAAATCTTGGCATTGTTGTTAATCCCCTAGCTTGTCCAACTTATTGTAAAAAATGAACAAAGGTGAAGATCAAAAAAGGCCTGTATATCACTCTAGAGGTTACTAAAGTTGCTGAAAGGATTATAAGTAATCATACTAAATAAATTAAATCAAATTTTGACTTTAAAGCTAAATTTATTGCAAAAAGACAATGGCAGATATTTAAATTTTATATAAAATTACATATTTTAGTTTATTTAATAAAGCTAAAATAAAGAATATGATGTTCAACCATTCGAATACATTCTACTATAGTTTTTCTTTTTATCATTAAAGAAATTTAATGATAAAATTGTACAAAAACTATAAGAGGAGATATGTTCCCTTGAGAGCTCTTTCTTCCTCTCCCTCCTACCGATATTTAAAGTTTACTTAAATTCCTATATTATCAAACATAAATGTATGTTATTAGCCAGATAATTGTAGTGGTGGGAAACTTTTTTTTTTTTTTTTGCGTGCTATGCTAATTGGAGATTTTGAATGTTCTTTGATATAACATTAATATCATATTTATGAATACATTTTATGCATAATTTTTTATAATTTAGTTCGTCTTCATAAACAGCCAATTTTTTAATTAATAATTTATTTGGAACACATAATATAAAGTTGATAATTTTTTAATAAGTAATTTCTTTTCAAAGAAAGCCATCTTCTAACTTTGAAAAAAATATAAAAAATAAATGCATTTAATACAAATAAACTATATAAGTTATAATTTTAACTTTCTTCAATATCTAATATAATAGCCATTAGTTGAAAAAGTTAATATAAAATTAAAAAAAGATAACAAAAATAATAATTAAAGTAATCAATTAGATATGTTTTAGATAGTAACAATTTTGGTGTCTTAAGTATCATTTTAGAATTTAATTCTTTGAGGTATATATGAAAAAGTATCACTTGGTAAAAAGACTATTCCTTAAATGAAACTCACTCCTCAAGGGATTTGCCTCATAACCATTGACTGCGAGGATATTTTAAATAATAATAATAATAATAATAATAATTAAATGAAAGAGAATTCAAACAAAAGAAACCTCTGATATCAACTTTTTAGTTGTACCAAAGTTAATTTATCACAATTATAAAAATATCTTAAATTTATCTACTATTTAAATTTATCTAACATTGTGCATTTTGCTTAAAAAAATTAAAGAAGTAAAATAATTTTAAAAATAAATAAATATTAATGTATAATATATAGTCATTATTTAAAAAAGATAAAAATAGAATAAAGTGATGAAATAAAAATAATAATTAAATTAATTGAATGCAAGCAAGACCATTCTCTTTTACTCTAATTTTTTAGTAATATGAGAGTTATTTTTTTAAAAATTATTGTAAAAATATATTTTTATTATTTATATACTTCTATCATAGGTGATGGCCATCACTTGGATGCAATATAGTTGTTTAGAATTTTAAAATAGACTATTTACATTTAAATTTTTTTAACTTATATTTATATTTTATTTTATTTTTAAAATAAATTTTTTTATTTTTAATAATAGTTTATTATCATTCAAAACATTGCATATTTAATATATATATATATATATCGTCCAATTTAATATTAATTTTTTACTATTTTATAATTTTTTATTTTAATAAATATGATATTAAAAATAAAGATAATATATTAACAAGTACTTTTAAGGAAAATATTTTTGAAAAAAATTGTAAGTTAAAAATTTTAAATTTAGACTACCCAGAATAAATCTAAGTAATTAATTTATAAAATTATAAAAATTTTAATATTAAATTCAGACAATTTAAATTAAATCTAAATTGTCTAGTTGGTAATAAAAAGATTTATTAATTTTTTATTTTAATAAATGTAAAATAAAAATATAAGTTAAAAACTTTAAATTTTGACTATCAAAATTAAATCATCTATATGATCTAGATCTCATAAGAGGAAAAATTATTGAAACTGTCTCCCTCTATCACTGGGCATGAAAATTTATTTCTTAAATATTTTTCAAATTTATCTTTTATTGCATATTTTTCCTAAAAAACTCAATCAAGTAAAAAAAATTAGAAATAAATATATGTGAATATATAATATGCTAGTTCACTTTCTTAATTAATTTATAAAATTAATTTATTTCTTATCTAATGCTACTCTTATGCGCAATTGAGCAATAATATTGATAAATTTCCTTAATATTTCAGAGATTATATAAGTTTATTATCCTTCAACAACAATTTTATTATTATCACTTCTTTTTGGTAAGGGATAATTACTCATAATATTTACCTATATTTTTACTCCTACCCAAAAGGTAGGAACACACATCTGCCAGAAATTATTACTTTGGGGATTAAGCACACAACCTCCTTATTAAATGACGGGTGCAAGTGCCATTGGACCTTCTCACATCTTAAAATTAATAATTAATTTTTTTAAAAAAAATAGGTTTTAAACCCTCAAAATGGGATAAATAATAAGTTATTAATATTTTTGGCAAAAGAAAAGAAGATTAACAATAACACAATCAATTTTGGTGAATGGTCATAAGTGAGGAGTCCTACTCTTACATGGAGGCTATAGCATCATCAAGAAGAAAGAGTAAAAATCTGATCATGGTTAAGAGTACAACAACAAATTCGAGGATGTCTTGTAATCCTTTATTAAATGATTTTTATCTCTCTATTTCTTTAATTTTCAATCTGTTTTAAGTTCTCTTAGAAAATAGATTAATCAAGTAAATAAATCTTGGATATTTTAAAATTTTTAAGAAGAAATCTTTTATTTTTATTTTAGTAGCTCGAAGATTCAAAATCTCCCATGAATCTAATTATATATATATATATATATATATAATTAGAATAATAACCATGAACTTAAAACATATCTTCTCCGTTTTCCATCATATCAGAAACGACATATAAGGAAACAAATTCATTTGCATTTTACATTTATTAATTTGAATAATTGGAAAAAAAATCAGATAAATCTAATACAACTATCTCCAAGTTCTCCCAACCACCCATGTAAACCCTTTATAAGAAATGAGAGTAAAAATAAAAATAAAAATAAAAAGTGAGGGAAAAGTCAGTAAGGAGGATTTGAAAACTTGTACATATCAAACCCTCACACTCAAGAGATGCATCAAGTCTCCCACATGAAGCAAATGTTGTCCCAAGGCAACTTTCCTCTTCCCAACTTCATCAGCCACACTTAAATCCTTACAAACATCCACTTTAAACCGAACCAACCCTTTTGATTTTCCCGCCAAATTCACTTTTTCAAATCCCAACAAGTGCTTCTGAGGAGCATTGTGCACAGCTGGAGGGCTAGAGAACAGGAACACTGTGTGTGTACTGCTCATTTTGCCCTTGTTCTTCACTATCAGGTGAACTTCAAAAGTCAGGTTTGAGCAATAGCGCTCATGCTCGTCAACAACATCAAGTGACTCGCACTCCAAGGAATTATTAGATTTGCAGGGATGATCAGCTAAGGAAACAGTGACCAATTCAGGGGCTTTAACTAGTGTATGTTCAAACTTGGAGTAGCTTATTCCATCTCCAAAGGAAAATACAGTTTCTCCTTTATAAAATCTGTATGTTCTCCCAGGATACCCTGTGGCTGGATCAGGCCTCATGTTCATGTTAGTCATTGGTACATTATCTAAATAGGATTGTGGGTACCATGTCATAGGTAGCCTCCCACCTGCACCAAAAAAAAAAAGTTCATTCTTTTAGGATTGTGTTAGAAAAATGAATGGATACAACGCATTCCGTAAAATATAGAGAAAAGGAGATTTTTGATGGAAAAGTGATACGTAATTCCGATATACAGTCACATTTTTCTGTTTACTTTTTTGGAATGTATGAATGCATGCATGTGAGGGATCTGATCTAGAGTTAAAAGTAGCTACTTAGTCATAATCACAATTCACATCTATGTAAATATCATGATGTGTGAAGAGACTTACTTGGATTGTGAAATCCGAAAATGACATCAGCTATGGCAGCGCCACCGGCTTCGCCAGGATAGCCAACCCATAAAATGCTTGTGATCTTGTCATCATTTTTAGCAAAGGAAACATCCATGCCTCCTCCAGACATGATGACAAGAACCACAGGTCCCTTGGACACATTTGCAACCGCACTGATCAAAAGCTGTTGCTGTCCAGGAAGAAGAATGTTGAGTCTGTCAAGGCTCTCTGCCTCTATGGCCAAACTTGCTCCCACTACAAGCACGGTTGCATCTGCAGCAGCTGCAATCTTCTTAGCATCGTCTAGCTCTGCGCTCGCGCATTTCACATCGGCACAACCAGCAGCATAGCTTGTAGGAACCAATGCTGTTAGCCCTTGCAATGGTGAAGTGTAGCTACAAGGTATGCCTGTGGAAAAAAAGGCACATATGTCATGTTCAGAAACGAAATTTTGTGGATTTTGCAGGTCAAGTTGAGTTTTAGTTCATTTAATTTCTTAAAACATGATGAGTAAATCATGACTAGTTTTAAGATTTGGAGAATGCCGGTACCTTCATAGTTTCCAATCATCGTCCTGGTGGCATTAGCATTAGGTCCAATAACCGCCAAAGATTTGATGGTCTTGGCATTAAAAGGCAGAGATCCTGGACTGTTTTTAAGCAAAACAATCCCTTGTCTTGCAGCCTCGCGAGCCAATTCACGGTTGGCTTCTGTGCACACATCCTTCGGACCAAGGTTCCCATAAGGCTGCTTGCTCGGATCACCATCAAAGAAACCAAGCCTCATCAAAGTGGCAAAGTTGTTGGACACTGCTTTGTCTATGGATGCTTCATCCACAAGCCCTTGTTTCACAGCATTTTCTGTATATTGCCCCAAGAATTTCCCGCAGTTCAAGTCCAAGCCTGTTGGTTCACATTTTGAAAATAGCACCGATAAGTTAATATGCATATCATAGTCATGGATGACTGATTTAGGAGGCACTAAATCAATTAGTGTCTATTTATTGCATATGATTGAAGGAATCTTGTATTTTTTTTTTTAATACTGTAGTTAGTTACCTGCAAGAATGGATTTGGCTACTGCTTCTTCAGGAGTCTTCGTATAGTGCTGGTCATCAAAAAGCACTTCAACTGAATCACAATCAGAAACAATATACCTACATTCCAATACACACGCATTAGGATAATATTAGTATTAAACATGACTTGACACCTGGAAAATTTTTCATATCAGAATCCATGTCTTGTATATGAATTAGCACAACTTAGAGTTATACCCATTTAATTTCCAATTGCCTCTAATAACTCCTTTAAGAAGGTCAGGATCTGCACAAGTTGGCTTCCCATTAACCTGATTATAGGAACACATGACACTAGCAACATTCCCATCAAGCACACAACTTTTGAACGGTGGTTGGAAAGTGTCATCCAAATCTTGTTGTGTCACCTAACACAGTCACAACAAAAACAAAGAAAAAAAAATGATTTTCTTTTCTTTATAAGGGCCTAAAAAAACCACGTTGACTTGAACTGTAGATTACCACAGCATTGAAGTGGTAGCGATCAACACCTTTCCAATTATCCAAATCATAAGCTGTGTAGTGCTTACAACAAGCAGCAACTTTGAGCTTGTTTGGATCGCCATTGTCTGTTTGTTGTAAGCCTTTAACATACCCAGTCGCGTATTTACTAGAGAGCAAAGGGTCTTCTCCGGGAGTCTCTTGCCCTCTTCCCCATCTAGGATCTCTAAATATGTTAATGTTGGGAGACCAAAATGTTAAACCAGCTAATCCCACATTGTACATTGCCCTTGCTTCTGTTGAAACCACCTGTAATGGCCACAAATTATCAATGAATTAAAAAAAAAAATCATTTAGTACTGTTGTTTTACTAGTTTTTTTTTTTTCACTTTCAATTTAGATATCTGTTTTTTTATTTTTATTTTTTTAAAAAAAGTTTAATATATGTTTGCAATGTACAAAGTGAGACTATTCTTTTTTTTTTCCCCGCTCTAGTATTCCAAGTCTTTTACCCAAACTAATTCCGTGTGGGGGGATACCTCCAACTGGATATTTAATCGCAATTGCAAAGGTTCAAACTCGAAATAGTTAAGTTGGATCAATCCCTTATCTAGTTGATCAAAAAGTTTAGATTAGTTGGATCCCAAGAACTCATCAAGACCAGTCATGTCTTTGGGTTCAAAAAATGAGGTAGGTGACTATTATTATTAGCCATGAAAATTGCCAATTGCACTATAGGCCTACTCTTGGGCCTATATACTAAATTGGCATGGGTTCACTTTTCACAAAACTTTCCGAAAACTAAAACATGAAAACAATTTTTATTTTACATTTCATCAGGTGGTTGGTTGTTAATTTTTGTCGGACAGCGTATTTATTAATTTTAAATGCATATTCTCCAATATAATTTTTTTTTTGGGGGGGGTATGATGCTGGCAGTATTTTTCATTGATATTAAACATTAGTCTCCCTCAAAATACTACTAAGCGCAAAAGATAAGAAATTCTTCCCAAAATTAAGTTTATCAAGATCTAAGTAAATAATGAAGTGCTTAATTAAGAACAAAAAAGTTGATCACAGATTGAACGTTTTGTAGCAAAATACATGCCAGAAAAACATTATTGACTTGACCTTAGCTTTTTGCATAAACTGCAGACTGTAGTAATTGTTCAACCAATTCAATTTAATGCACAATGAGAAAAATAAGAATTATGAATGTGAATGATTAATTGATTATTCAATTATGTCACAAATCCATCAGCATCACTCCTATCCTTTTCACACTCCAAGACCTAAAGTTCAACATGCAAGCTGGATCCTCTGAATGTATTAACCAAAACCTGCAGGATCCCACCAGGAGCTTAACCTACATTTATTTTCTTTTCTTTTTTAATTTATTTTTGGATAATTATTATATTGTATAGTTCAAACTGCCAGTCTTACGTTTATACCCAAAAGATTTTCACTTTTAGGTCAAAATCAACAGGGACAGAGCAAAAATCAACCCCTTTAGCTGCCCTCCATCTACTTCAATCTCAAGCAATAATCAACTGAAAAGTGGAAAATTCATGGAACTATTCTGCCTTCATTTTTTTTTTTGTTTTGGTAAACAGAAAGAGGCAAAAGCCCAGAAAATTCTATCTTGATAATTTTTAAGCAACATTTTTTAACAATTATATGATATTTGGCACTATTCATTAATTGTACTTGATTCTATTTATAGGATAAAAAGAAAAGAATTTTTTTATATTTTATTTATATGTCGCGCCATTAATTTTTCATCATAACTTTTCTGTTTTACCCTCCATCAAATATTAGTGAAAAAAAATATGTCATTAAAGTATATATATTTAATAGTGATAAAGTTATAATTTTTTAAAATTTTTTGGATAGAATTAATAAATTTTAAGATTTTTCTTAATTCTAATAAAATATATTAAAAATGGCTTATAAATAAGACCAGACAAGTATGTGAGTATTCTCAAATTAATATAGAAAGACTCTTTTAACATAATTTTTTTCCATTTATAATATTTAAATTATTGGCTTAACTACTATTGGTTTTTTTGGGTAGCATTTTTCATCTTATATTCTCATCTCCATCTACTTCTTCAATGAGATTAAATTGCATTATAAATGCAATCCAAGGAATTCTCCAACTTACATTTAAGTTTTAGAGAATCAAACCTTTCAAATCATGGCATTTCATATTCATTCATGTCTCACTTTGATGTGTATATGATATTGATAACATGTTCATAGACAGCTACCAATTGAAATGAATGAAGCTTCGTTGTATATTGCGAAGCAGACCAACTAATTGGATAGTTGAACTAACAAAATTGAATTTTATTACATATAAAAACACCTCAGAAATCAGACTTTGTAAAATATGATTAATAATTTAATTAAAAAATCAATTATTTATGATAAATTCCTTCTTTTTTATTTTTTTTCACATATAAAATTTCAATTATAATGCTAAAATGTTATCAGTGATTTAACTATCATAATTTAACATCGAAATGATTACATTTTATAAAGTAAATAATAAGAAAAACCAATGAAAATTGTTCTCTCCTAGTCCCAATTTTATTATTTCTCTTAATTTGATTTCATGTATTCTACATATTAAATACACAAAAAAAAATCACTCTATATATAAACAGAAATGAAGCATTATATTATTTAGACAATATTATATTTAATTTTTAATTTTATATTTATTTTTTAATTATCGTTAGTTAGATGAGAGTTGTTGCTGTCGGCAAATTGATATATTTATATTTGAATGAATAATTGTGATAGCATATGACCAAATGTTACACTGTGCGTATTTAATTATCCCGGAGGGAGGGATCTGATGTGAAGCGTGTGTATCTTCATATTCACAAGAGGGGAAAAAAAACAAAGAAATTAATTTACTCTTATTAAATACTCTCTCCGCTAGTTAATATAAATTGAAGTTAGAATTTAAAAAAAACCAATAATTTATTCCTTTTCATGCTTGGTTTGAATGAGAAGAAAATATAGGAAAAAGAAAATTAGGAAGGAAAAGTGCTAAAAGATGATAAAAAAGTTACTATTTTTGACAATGTTTCCCATTAGCTTAAAATTATTTCCCTATCCAAACCAAGAATTAATGCAAAATGATTTAGAAGGTGAGCTGTATATAAAAAGGATTATAGTATACTACATTACTGCTTGATTATCATATGGTAATTTTTGATCTAGTGTTAGTAAAAAGAAAATTAAAATTTGTAATGCACTTCCCTTACTGCCCTTCAGCCGGTCTATTATTATTATTAAAAAAAAGCCCTTCTTATTAATATTAAAATAGACTATAGATTTTGTCAATGTAACTTAACAAAAGTAGGAAAAGATACGCAGAATCTGGATTCCTCACGTCTGCTTACTCCCTTCTTCCCAAAAAGCAAAATCATGATTACTAGAAAGAATCACAGGTTCACATCACATTACACGCATTGATTCTCCTATTAAGCTAAAATCCTTACACAGTTATACTCAGAGAAAAAATCAAACAAACAAACAAATATAGAGAAGAGAAATCTGACCTTTCCAATGGCCTCAAACAGAGACGAATTGAAAGAAGCTGCAGTGAGAATCGGCATGGGAAAACTGGTAGCTCCAGGAACCACACTGGAAAACCGAGTGCCGGGGCCCGCATTCGACACTCCATGAAGTGCCTCAGACCACCATTCGTACTTTGGAATCCCAAGTCTACTCACATTCGCTGCGGAATTCACCAGATTCCCAATCTTCTCTTGCAGCGTCAGTCTCTTCACCAAATCGCTCACTCTCGCTTCGATCGGTACCGACTTGTTGCAAAATCCCAACCCGGCGAGTTCCGAATTCTTGGCCACATCACAGGCAAAAACTGGTGATGTTTGGCCTGAAACTCGGCAAGGACTCAGTAGAACAGAGAAGAAGAAGAAGAATGAGAACTGAAAACAGGAGAAAACAGTGTGTGAAACAGAGACCTTTGGTGCTCTGTTTCTTCTTCTTCTGGTAATGGCCATTGTGGCCTGAGAAACAAATGGGGTTGAGAAAAAAATGAAATGGGTTTTGTTTTTATGAGAAAAAATGAAATGGGTATGGTTTCTATGAACGAAATTCAATGTGGGGGTGTTTAGAAGAATTAGAAGAAGAAGAAGAAGAAGAAGGGAAAGAATCTGTACAGAGCTTTTCTCTCAGGTTTTTCTGAGAGAAAATTTCTCTGGATTCCCCAAGAGGAGGGTTTGCTCGGTTTGGAAGTTCCACTGCTTTGGTTCGTAATTTATATCACAGTGCGTGGGGTGTTAAAATAATAATAAATAATAATTTTTAGGTATCGTAATTTGAAAATTTGGTCAGAGTTTCTTGAACAGGGTAAATGTGACGTGAGGATCATGATTTCATTTCAAACCGGGAGATTTTAATGTAAAAAATTGGAGTGAAATATTGACATTATTCAGTCGGAGACAAAAGGGTTCGTGAATAAAATTTTGAAATCGTGGATTAAAAACAAAGCTGCTATTTTTTTAATTAAATTTAATTTATTAAGCCAACAAAAGCAAGTATCAATCTTTCTTGTAAGTTGCAACCTTATCAACAAATTCTTGTTGGTGTTTTTATGCATAGTTGCTTAAAATTTGAACAAGTATGGATTGCCCTCTACCGAACGGCATGAAATGCAGTTGAAAAAGGGGAAAAATTTTTGAAACGAATTGTTTACGATGCTGAAAATCCTTGAAATAATCAATATAATATATAAAAAGAAAATACTTATCATTGAAATGAAAAATATATGTATAATGTAAAAATTCTAACACATGATTCTCTTTCCTTTTTGCCATCAAAAATATATGCACAAGAAAAAATATTGAATTCTCAATTTAAAGCTTCTATATAAACAATATTTTTCCATAATCTAATAAACAATATTGAATAATATAGATCTAGAAGAAAATCGGGATATATATATATATATATATATATAATCTCATTATTTTAAGCTATTATCAGTTATCTCTAAAAAGTTCATTTTAAAATATTTTTCTCTCCAACTTTTAATATTAGAAAATATTTAGTCATGTTTTTATATAATGTTTAGTCTTACTATTCGGATTATTTATCATTTTCAGCAGAACAGAAACAAAAATAAAGGAAAAAATTTGAGTATATATACATAGCAGAGAGGTACACACTAAACACAAATTACAAATACACTATTTTGTGTTGTTGTCTTTTCAAATGATTCCCCATCTAACTTCGGATCCACTAAAATATAATAAGGTGAAATGAGGAAAAGAAAAAGACACAAGAAATTTTGTAGGATCTCATAAGAAAAAATGAAATCCATCAGTTTTTCTTTCCCCTCCTTTTTGCTGTGAGTCTGTTTATGAAAATTTGTTACCTAATTTTTTTTAAAAAATAAAACATATTAAAATAAGAAAAATGATTACATTAAGAGAGGTTTATCTCTCTAAACACAGAAGGCAAATGATTATTAATAAACCTCTTCCAATTACGTTACTACATATATATAAGGATTAAAATCAAACTTTTAACCATTTATTTAAATAACAAGTACCCCTATTGAAAGAGTTATTTTTATTTATGTTTGCAATACTTAAATATGACTTGACAATATTAGATATTATGAGTAGAGGTAGTGATTGAGAAATGGACACACTTATGGCATGGGAAAGGATTCCAAATGTGATCTAACTAACTGTGAAGAATGGAAATGAATCTTGTGAAGCTTAGCTATGTGAGTGTGAAGACACACATCTCAAATTCCAACTTGCTCTTGTCACCATGAGTATTTTTCACTGTGTCTCAAATTAAATGAAGTGGGGTTGTCGTTTTCATGCATTGAGCTACTTGCGCAATGATAATGATGAAATTATAATTATTTGTATGCAAAATATAAAAAAAAATATTGAAATTATTCATTCCAATTTTTTAGTTGAATTATTATGTCAAAAAAAAAATGAAGAAACCAATAATATGCTAATCATTTGTTCTCTCGTTAAGCGAATTTAAAAGCCAATATCTCATCTCGTATTAATGGTAAAGACAAGAGTTGACCAGGTGGGGTCACGACCTTTGAAAGTAAATCATTTACCAAAATTCTTATAAACCTTGTACGGATCAAAGTAAATGAGAAGGTTTATTCAAATCCTTTTATTAGTCACGTGCATCTTTTAGTAGGAGATAATATCTTGTTCAAGATATAATCAGAGACTAAATGTGTGTATTGATTCCTCATTTTCACTTTCAAAAATGGCCACTTGCTCTTACAATATTGTTTATATTTGAATTAAAATGCATTTTTTTTTATACTTTCTATCAAAAATGGCATCATATGTTAATAAGTTGGATATTTTTTCTTAAATCATTTTTTAAATAAGCAAAAATTTTCCTCAGCTAGTGATTCATTTATGAAAGGGTTTTTTGCTCTTCCGAATAATAATTTGGGAGGAAAAATACCTTACACAATGCTCCTCGAAGAAAAGAAATTTCAAAATACCGAGCACTTTTTAAAAAAAGTTCAGAAATAAATTAACACTAAAAACATACCATGTCAGTAAAAAATAACAAAATTAACAAACTAATAATAAAGGAGATTTTTGCTCCTTTAAAAAATAATTCAAGAATAAAATCCCTTATTTACTAACATAAAATATCTAATACTCCTCGAAAGAAGTATAAAGAGAAAAATACATTTTAATCATCAAACTCAAAATTTTTAAATTTTATTTTTTAACAATAGATTTTTATAAAAAAAAAAAGGCAGTCAAAAAGAACTTGTTTGGGCCAAATGGAGGTAGAGCTAATTTCAAAAACTTTATCTTTTTACATCTATTAATCTTGCGCTTTGACAAAATAATAATAATAATAATAATAATAAAACCTTATTTAAGATATAATTAAATATTAAATGTAAGTATTTATTTCCTTTTTTCACTTTTCAAAATGTCCGCTTGCTCTTATAATATTGTTTACATTTGGGTTAAAGTACATTTTTTTCTTTATACTTTCTATTAAAAAGCATTGGGCATTTTATATTAATAAGTTAATTTTTTTTTGTCTAAATTATTTTTTAAAGAAGCAAAAATTTCTCTCAATTAGTGACCTGTTTATGGAGAGGGATTTTTGCTTTGCTGGATAATGGATTAGGAGGAAAAATGATTTACTTATTAATATAAGGAGCAAAAAGCTCTTCAAAGAAAAGAAATTTTAAATTGTCCAGTATTCTTAAAAAAATTCAAAAACAAATTGATATCAAAAGACATGTTGTGTCAATAAAAAATGTCAGAATTAACAAATTAGTAACAAAGAAAATTTTTGCTTCTTTAAAAAATAACTTAAAGGTAAAAATCTCTTATTTATTAATACAAAATATCTAGTACTCCTCTAAAAAAAGTATAAGGAGAAAAATATATTTCAACCATTTACATTTTCGCTAGTTTAATAGCATATTCAAATTCAAAAATTTTAAATTTTATTTTTCAATAATAGTTTTTTAAAAAAAGGCAGTCAAAAAGAACTTCTTTGGGCCAAATATAGGTAGAAGTAACTTTAAAAACTTTATCTTTTCACACATTAATATTGTGCTTTGACCAAGAAAAAAATAATAGTAATAAACTTGTGCATCAAAACACGATTACAACTAATGTTATGAAAAATTAAACCGTTCAATGAATAGATCAAGGTATTAATTTAAGATTCAATAGTCAAACCATGATCAAATTGTAATTGGACTAGTTATAATTAAATTAAAATATTTTTAATGATATTTCTTAAAATATCATATAAAAAATGAAAGAATGTAAATAATAATAAATATTGTTAAATTTTTTGTAATTAAAAATTTTTTTTCATAATTTTTTTATTTCAAGTCATTTTTATTAATTTAAGATTTATTTTTTACCTGAAATTTAAGATTTATTTAATATTTTCAATTGAAATCACTAAATACAATTTCCCCCACCAAATATCTCTCCACATTATCCCCATGCATTATAATAATATTCTATTAATTTATTAGCTTATTAAATGCATTTAGAATTTAAATTGAAACAATAGCACCTATTAGACTATTGCTAGGTTTTTCTCCTTTGTCACTTGCTCTGTATCTCTGAACAAAAATTAAAGTCTCACTCCCAACCCCACACTCAATATCCTCGTTAAACGGTTAAAGCATTAGGTTTAAAGTTTTAAAAAATGAAATTAATAAAATTAAATTTGAAAAATTATATAAAAAAAATAAAAATAACTTAAGAACTAAAAATTAAATGATAAAATATACTATTAATTCTCTAACTTTAAATGAAATTTTATTTGTATCTCTTAATTTTATAAAGTATATTATTAGTCCTTTAATCTTAATACTAGTAGTTTTAAATGATTATTTTTTAAAACAATTATTATTATTTTAAAAAATAAAATTTAATAAGTTAACATTTAAAAATATTTTTTTAATATTTAAAAGTTGAATGTAAATTTTTTTTTGTTATGAAACTAATAGTTTTATGGTTAGATGATTAAAAATATATTTTATAAAATTAAGGAATCAAAATAAAACTTTATGTAAAGTTAAAGGATTAAAATTATACTTTAGTTAAAATTAAATTATCTCAAATATTAAAAATACATAAAAAATTACTTCAATTTAAGCAGTCTAATTTTAATTTAAAATATCAATGATGATAAGTTCTGGGGAACCGCCTTCGCCAAAATCATTTTGCACATGTAATGGTAACTCCCTCCACTAAATTTAACATAATATTTTTTTCTGTAAATTTGCTTTTCTGATATTAATGTCTATTATCCTCTCCTTTAAAAAATATAAAAATTTAGGAGTTATATATTAAAAAATATGAGAAATTTTTAATATTTTAAGATGTAATTAATAATTTTTTTAAAATATTTAATAAATAAATTAATTTATATTTTTTTAAGTGCAGCACATTATTAAATAAAGGTAAATACAGAAAAATGGTATTAGATTAAAACAATTAACTAATTTATTAAGGATGATATTTGATTAAGAATGCCAAATATTTTTTAACAGGGGGAGTAATTAGCTAGAATATACAGTATTTAAATAATTCTCTGTGAATGTTTCATCACATAACTAGGAATCTAAACTAATTTGGTCATATTTCAACATATTTAGACAATGTGAGTTCTTGTAGATTTTATATTTTTTATCTTACAAATGCATCTTCCTATTAAAGATAATAATTATAC